CAAATTATAAGTAATCTCTGTTTTCTCATCTGCAACGTGCATATTCACTAGTAGAGTCCCTATAAGAACTAAGTACAATAATGAATGCCAACACATGTGCCTGGTACATAATAAATGTGCAATAAAACTTGACTTTGGTTAATACTGTCTGTTAGTGTTTCTTAGATGTGTCTAGCAATCACTAACAAATCTCTGTGTTTAGAATTTTTTGCTTCTTAGTTGATGAACCAGATTATTTAAATACTTAACCAGATAATTTAAATTTTTACCTCATGAGATGCTCAGAATTTTTTTTTCTTAGTCAAAAGACGTGTAAGGATGGAAAGGATACAATAAAAGCTGTCCCTCATGTGTTACGAGCAAATTCCTAGAGCTTTGCATAAGGTGTGGCAACACAGGATCCTTGTCTCCATTCAACTACAAAATTCTACATTGCAGAAGATCAAGGTAAATAAGTACTTGTTTCAAAAAAGCAATGGATAATCTACTATCAGTCATAACTAAAAGCTACTATTGAAAAACTAGCTTAGACTTGCCAAAAATAAAATTTCTCCTATTTCCCCTTCCCTTTATGTGATCATCAGCTGTTACTTCAAACTGTTAAATTTGACAAATGTTGTTATTTTCTCCTCTGGTCAGCTTTCCCTTACTTTTCTTTTTTATTCAACAAATGTTTGTTGAGGACGTACTATGTCCAGATTTTCTGCTATGCTGAGAATGATCGCTCAGATTTCTTCCTGTCCTTACTGCCGTCTTTTCTTTGTCCTTTCTTTCTGCCTTTGTTTCCTTCTGTTCTCACTGAGAGCACAATGTGTGTGTGTGTGTGTGTGTGTGTGTGTGTGTGTTTGAGGGAGGGGACTAGAGAGGAAAGGGGTGTTGATATGCTTCCTGGACTGTCTTCCAACAAACAAAACAACTAATATTAATAGTGTATCTCATTGTCTCTTTTAGAATAAAGATCTTGATACTTATAATCTAACTCATCTTTTTTCACTGTCTTCCTTGTGATTTTACCCATAGTAGACATATAACCCATTTGTTGAACTGAAATGGAATGAAAGGGAAGACATCAGCATTTCTAAAAGTAAGGGATGGTGAATGACCTTGGGAGGGGAAGGCACAAAATTGTGACTGGCCTCATCATAATAGATAATAGATAATAATCATAATTTGTTTTACAAAGTTTCTGGAAGAAAATGACAAATATTCTTTAAAATTACTTGACTCATACCAGCACTATTCAAGGTAGTAAGTAATAACCAGAGTTTGCAATGAGCAGAGAAATAGTTTGTGACTCATTCCGGGTGGCTAAGCAAGATGTGGCTGACAGGAGCTGGTCTGTGGTTAAGAACCAGGGCTTTAGAGCTGAGAGGTGTGGTTTGAATCCTGGCCACTCCTCTCCAGTTGCATCACCTTGGGGACATTATTTCTGCTAAGATGCATTTTTCACCGATGGAATGGGGGATATTATTAGCTCCCAAGGTTATTGTAAGTATTTCAAATAATACATACGAAATATCATCTCATATTACACACATAAAGTATGTAATAGATAACAGCTAATAACATGTATTTCCTTTAACATTACTCATTAAACAACACAGAAGGCATATGTACATAAAACTTATTTTTTTCTGATTTGGGCTGAAGTTTCAATTGTTCAGGCTTGGAATTATGACTATGTGAACGGAAGCTTTGGCTGTGCCAAAGTCAGCAAAATCAGCAAATTATATAATTGTGACTAAGCATTTGGAGAGCCTGGCTGCAGCACCTTCTGGTGAAATCTAACTTAGATTTGCAAGAGCTATCTTGGAGCAACTCTTCCAGTGTCCAGATTTGAAAAAGAAATGTTGAACTATCATGCTCCAGCAAGAGCTGGATTCTTAACCTACTTATGGAAAAATCTAATTTTACATGATTCCTTCTGTGTTTTTCTTTAATTCTTCAAATACATTCTAATTTTTCAGATCGCATGGTTTCCTTAAACATTTAACCACAGGGAACACTGATCACAAAGTCTACATGTGTCAAGAAAGCTTATTCTTAAGTATACAGAGATTAAAATATTTATTATAATTTCCTGCCACTGAATTGTTTCTTCAAAACCCTATTTGAAAGAGACTGTATTTATGTTTTTCTCTTTTCCTATCTTGAAAATGAAAATGAAAAAATAAGAATTCTTCATATGGTGATCTTCCGGTTTTCCTTGTGATTCTGAAGTATTTTTTTAAAAGATTTATTTATTTATTTGAAAGTCAGAGTTACACAGAGAAAGAAGGAGAGGCAGAGAGAGAGAGGAGAAGCAGAGAGAGAGAGAAAGAGAGAGAGAGAGAAAGGGGTCTTCCATCTGCTGGTTCACTTCCCAATTGCCTGCAACAGAGCTGTGCTGATCCAAAGCCAGGAGCCACCCCAAAGCCAGGAGTCAGAAGCTACTTCCCAGTCTCCCACATGGGTGCAGGGGCCCAATGACTTTAGGCATCTTCTACTGCTTTCCCAGGCCATAGCAGAGAGCTGGATTGGAAGTGGAGCAGCTGGGACTAGAACCAGCGCCCACATGGGAAGCTGGCACAGCAGGATGAAGCTTTATCCACTATGCCACAGCGCTGGCCCCTGAAGTATTATTTTTAAATGGGGCTTGTAAATAGCCTATCATCTGTTGAACTACCACCTAGGATAATTGGTGTTGTCTTGAGAGAGAAGAAAACATTTCCTTCATTTTCCAGTGAACCATCTGAGTGATAGTGGAGCAGTGTTGATGAGCTGAATTGGTTTATTTGAATGATGTGTGAGTCAGTTTTAAGTTGAATTTTTATATCACCTTCATCATCATAATCCTGTACCAAAATAAAGAGATCATGTACCAGTATCTCAAAGTAGCATGCTTCTAAAAGTAAACATATCCTTTTCTCTCTTATTACAAAGAGATTAATCAGCCTGTTTTCTTGCTCTCTGCTGGAGTTATTTTATCTTCCAGATGTAGTATTAAATCCCCAATTTATGCAATTTTGCTAATTTGATCACTGGGTGGAATTAAAACTAGGAGACTGTGAGTTTCCACAGTTGAGGCAAATCTAGATATACAGTCAATATTTCTTTAAAATGATTAAATTAAATGATAAATGCCTTGCAAATAAGCGACAACCCTCTAAAAGTATTCACTAAGATGTATCTTGGCAGAGAGCACTCATGATGCTTCTTCAACTATGTTTTGGAAGACAAGGAGTCTCATGGAGATTTTCCAGAGGACTTTGTGTTTGCTCAAAGCAAAGCACGCTGGGGGTGTGCGGCAGGACAGCGTGGTGGGATGGACTCAGACAACCAGCACGAGAGTTGCAGTCACTGGAATAATAAGATAAATGCACTGTGGGTTTCCATGGCAACCAGGGACCCCAGCTGTCCCTCTGCCCCCCAGCTCAGGGTAGAACAACCCACCTATGTCAAGTCCCACTCTGCTTTAGAAATCAAGGTGTTATTGCTACATTAGATTGTTCCAAGGATTCCAGTTTATGAAACAGTACCACTTTACCCGAGTCTATGTCTCTAATGCACTTATCAAGAAATGTTTTTCTAATAAAGGCTATACATTTTCTTTTGAGAAGATACATTTAAAAATAGCATAAAGGAAGAAAATACGCTCACATGCTACATTTACAATTCATTAAGGTTTGCTGGGCCGTTTGTTCAGGAAGTTAGCTGACTTATTTTCCAGCTGGATTCTGGGAAGAGTAAGACCCTCTCCTGTGGAGGGGGAGGGGTCTGGCAGGGGCACTGTTGGCGGCCTGACGAGCTCCAGAGACTTTCTGCTTCCTCCCCGCCACCGACTGGCTGTGAGGCCATGGTGAAGTCTCACCATCTCATGGTGCCTTAGTGTCCCCCTCTGTAGATGGCAATAATAATAGAACTCACCTCTTCAACTTTTGGTCAAGATCAAGGGAGGTAACACACATTACAGCCTCTAATCACAGCAGTCAGCAACATTGGCTTTTTCATACCCGTTCCTCATTTCAGCTCAGGTAAGCTATTTCTCCTCTGAGTTTTCCCGTTTCGCCCAGGGACCGCAAGAGAATCTCTCTTGCTCACTTCATCTCACTTACTTTCCTGAAGCACTTGGTCCCACCTCATACAGACTGCAGAATACGCAAACAATAAAACACACTTTGTAAGAGATCCTTGTGGCTTTACATCAAGGCTGTCGCCTTGAAAAATGTTTGAGGGAATGAAAAAAGACTGCGCCTGTCTTTTGCCTTCTTCTAACTGTAGGAGATGTGGTCTTATCATAGGACAGAACCAGTTAGAGACAGAGTAGTTATGCTGGAATTGAGGGTCACGTGGGAGGACAGACCAGCCAGCTTCACAACCTGCGATGATTCATGTGCCCCAGGAAAATGTTTTTGACTTCATGGCTCTAGGGAGTATCTTGAAGGATCTTTAAGGTGAGGCTAATAATAACTCACAGGACTATTTAAGTATTACGTATTACGTATAAAACACGAAGCATACAGCAAAGACCCTAACACTTAGTGAGCACTCATGAACACTATCTATTATTATTATCATCATTATTACTGCTAATACTATAATAATACACTTATTAGCATGAAATTGACCTTTGTATTACAAGATGCTGATGCGTATGTAGTCTCTTGTTCCACAGGGTATAGATGTGAATGAAAACTGAAGGTGTGATTTCCTCTTCTTTGTGTTCTGTTACATAAAGAGTGCTAATGTTGGAGCAGAACAGATTTTATATTTCAAAATAATGGTACAGTAAATGGTAGAACAAGGAGAAAGTGCTAAGTACACTGGGATTTCATTAACACATTTTCTAGGCAGATGTATATTTTTAAGCATTGAGACAGCTATGAGGTGAGAAAGCACATGAAATGCAAAGTTCAGAAAAATACTTCATTTTTGTGAAAAATTTAAAGAAAATATTTATGATGCATACAATATATTAGAACAGGAATTCATTGAATAGTTAGTTTAGTCAGTTTTTTTACCTGGGTTGGAGCCACTAATTCCAACTCTGAAGCTGAGTCTGAGTTGAGGGCACTTTTCCCACCACTCAGTTCTGGCTGAGATCTGTGCTCTGAGGACCTGGAATGGAGGCACAGAGGAAATTAATGTACAACAAGAGACAAATTCAGCCAGAAATCCAGCTAAGACAATTGATTAATTTGGATTATTGAAAGACATCATAAGAAAGCTCTCATCAGAATCCCGATGAAAAAGAAGTGTTAGATTTGCTCATGTAACACTGATCACATTTGGAATTTAAGTAGCTAACAATATGCTAGGTGTTATTGTCTCTGAGAATTCAGTTACATGCAAAAGAAAATAAATGTAATACCATTTTTATTACAGAACATTTTGCTTTATTAAAAACACTATGCAGCTGGTACTGTGACGCAGTGGGTTAAAACTCCAGTCTGCAGTTTTGGCATCTCATGTTCTCCAGTTCAAATCTCAGCTGCTCCACTTTCAATCCAGCTCCCTGTTAACGTGCCTGGGAAAGCAGCAAAAGATAGCCCAAGTGCTTGGGGCCCTGGACTCACGTGGGAGACCTGAAAGAAGCTCTTGGCTCCTGGCTTTGGATCAGCCTAGCTCTGGCTGTTGTGGCCATTTGGGGAGTGAACCAGCAGATGGAAGATAGTCTCTCTCTCTCTTTCTCTCTCTCTCTGCCTCTGCTTCTCTGTAACTCTGCCTTTCAAATAAGTAAACAAATCTTTAAAAAATATTGTGTTTTTCGGGGGGGGGACCTTACATACTCAGGTGCAATGTCATCTTTATATAGAACTTGAAAATGAGGGAGATAGGTGAGGGCAATAGGAGATCGAAATAGAACCTTGCCCTTTAGAAAGTTGCAATAATAAGAGGGGCCAGATTTTCTCATGGGCATCCACAGATAGTTTTAAACTATTCCATTACTTGATGCTGAATGGTTGAGAAAACCAGAAAAGGTTACATGTAAAGCCACAGATTTTAAGTTAACTATCATCTGCATAATATACTGAATACATTGACATTCAAGGGTACTTCAAAAAGTTCGTTGAAAAAGTACATTATTTTATTTTTATTTTTTTCACAAAGAAACCTTTTATTTAAGGAATGCAAACTTCATGCATTTCATAAGTACAACCTTAAGAATATAGTGATTCTTCCTACCATACCTGCCCTCCCACCCCTCCTCCTCCTCTCTCTCCCATTTCCAGTCCCATTCTCTACTAAGATCCATTTTCAATTAACTTTATATGCAGAAGACCAACTCTATACTAAATAAAGAGTTCAACAATTTGCACGAAAATAAAAAAAAAAACTTCCTCAACAGTCGAGACAAGTGTTGTGCAAAGTCATTGCATCTTTTTTTTTTTTTTTTTTTTTTTTTTTTTTTACAGGCAGAGTGGACAGTGAGAGAGAGAGACAGGGAGAGAAAGGTCTTCCTTTGCCGTTGGTTCACCCTCCAATGGCCGCCGCTGCAGCCGGCGCACCGCGCTGATCCTGGCAGGAGCCAGGAGCCAGGTGCTTTTCCTGGTCTCCCATGGGGTGCAGGGCCCAAGCACCTGGGCCATCCTCCACTGCACTCCCTGGCCATAGCAGAGAGCTGGCCTGGAAGAGGGGCAACCGGGACAGAATCCGGCGCCCCAACCGGGACTAGAACCCGGTGTGCCGGCGCCGCAAGGTGGAGGATTAGCCTATTGAGCCACGGCGCCGGCTCAAAGTCATTGCATCTTGAAGTTAATTTCACTTTATTTTTTTTTTTGAGAAACTTAATTAACTTTAAAGTAACACCCACATCTTTTGTGAACACTTAGACATAACTATACCTTAGGAGATATAAGAATATCCTACATTTAATACATTAAAAGAAAGTAAGTCCTTGAGAATAAGTTTTATCATTAATTAAGGAAGCACCTATGAAAACATGCAATGGAGTTAGACACTTAGGCATAAATAAAACTTATGAGACATAAGAATATCCTTCACTTGATACACTAAAATGAAATAAACCTTGGAGAACAAGTTTTACTGTTAACTCTCATAATACAACTCTTTGAGGACATGGGTCCTGCATAAGAATTTAGTGCACAGTGACTCCTGTTGTTAATTTAACAATTAACACTCTTACGTATGATGTCAGTGATCATCTGAGGCTCTTGACATGAGCTGCCTAGGCTATGGAAGCCTTTCAAATCCACAAACTCTGTCAGTACTTAGAAAAGGCCATAAGCAAAGTGGAAGTTCTCTCCTTCCTTCAGAGAAAAGTACCTCTTTCTTTGATGACCACTTCTTTCTGCTGGGGTCTCACCCACTGAGATCTTTCATGTAGGACATTTTTTGCCTAAGTGTCTTGGCTTTCCATGCCTGAAATGCTCTTCTGGGCTTTTCAGGCAGACCAGAAAAGTGATTGTTATTCTATGAGTCTGCTGTATAATGTACATTATCTTTTAATTACATTCTCCATGAACTTTTGAAGTATACTTGTACATCTCTATGAATACACATGTGTACCTATTTTGACACATCAGTTTGGTTACACATTCAGAAAATTATCAACAAATGTTAAATCATGGACCTCCTCAAATCCTTCTCAACTACATTTGCTTAATTTCTGATAATCCAGTTGAAACAATTTAGAATTTGTAGAGGTCACAATAAAAATAGAGAATTATACTTGACACCAAGTATTTGGACTGACTGAACTCACTGGCTCTTTCAGGATATGGAGAGGAATACCCATAAAACAGGCACATTTCCAGGTATCACAATGTCTCACCATAAGAGTTCTTTTGATCCAGTTCTGGATGAGCATGACTTTCTCTCTGCCATTGGATGACCCTTGCTATTTCGATCTCCATGAAACTTCACATCATCCCACTTTTCCAGTTGAGTTTGAATGTCTGCTAGAGAGGAAGGGGCACAGGGTTCAGGGAGAGCATGAAGTGCAGAGAGAAAAGAGACATTTATTGACTGAGAAGTTTTCTCCAAGTGAACTTTACTCAAACGAAGCCTTCAAACTCCCAGTCCAATTTTTATCTTTTCAGTGTAGGCTGGAAATTAATTAAGTCTGCGCAGCTAAATAAAAATGAGATTTGTTAAGATAAATCAGGTTGCTTTTACAGTTAAAACATCAACTTGTTTAATTTATTTCTATAGCTATGGGATCTGATGTAGAATGTGCACGTGGAGTACTCTCCTCTCAGTCTACATGAAGCACGTAGCTTCTTACGGGGGAAACTTCTGGCACATGTCAACTGGAAACTCTTGTTTAAAAATATGAGCTCTGATGTTAAAATGAGGTAGGAAGAAACCAGAACATTTTCACAGCTTTTTAATAGACTACTTCACTTTTCACCAAAGGAGGGAATTTATAATGGGGAATAGAGAGAAAGGAAGCTATGAAGAAAGCCAAGAGAATGGCAGAACCACTTCTCCCTGAGGCTTAACTCTTACAGATAAGGAATTGGCTAGGTTTTCTCTCATTTACAGGTGTGTAACTGTTATCATTTATATGATCTTGTGGTCCACATTGTTTTCATTCATGTAAAGGTAGGTCTGCAGCTGGTATCCTCCAAGGCCTTTTTCTCCCTTCTTTTAAAACACTGTGCTAGATTTTATATTTATAAGTCTGTATCTATATCTATATAACAGAATTTACCATTTTAGCCATTTAAAAGTGTATGCTGCAGTGGCAATTTATACCTTCAACTGTCACCACCATGTGTCTCCAAAACTTTTTCAACTTCTTACACTGAAATTCTGTACCCATCAAACAACAGCTCTCCATCCCCTGTCCTAAATCCCTTTAGTTTCTACTCTACTTTCTTCTATCTATGAACTTGACTGCTCTAATTACCTCATATGAATGCACATAATATTCATTCTTTTGCATCTGGCTTATTTCACTTAGCATAATATCCCTCAAATTAATCCATGTTATAGCAATTGTTTATTTTTTAAGGTTAAATAATAACAATTCATTATACGTGGAAACCACATTTTGTCTATCCATTCATTGTTGTTTCTACCTCCTGACTATTGTGAATGACACTGCTGTTCTCCAAGGTGATTTTAAACTAAGTATTTTTTTAACTTTTATTTAATGAATATAAATTTCCAAAGTACAGCTTATGCATTACAATGGCTCCCCCCTCCATAACTTCCCTCCCACCTGCAACCCTCCCTTCTCCCACTACCTCTCCCCTTCCGTTCACATCAAGATTCATTTTCAATTATCTTTATATACAGAAGATCAATTTAGCATATATTAAGTAAAGCTTCCAACTGTTTGCACCCACACAGAAACACAAAGTGTAAAATACTGTTTGAGTACTAGTTATAGCATTAAATCACAATGTACAGCATATTAAAGACAGAGATCCTACATGAGGAGTAAGTGCACAGTGACTCCTGTTGTTGACTTAACAAATTGACACTCTTGTTTATAGCATCAGTAATCACCCTAGGCTCTTGTCATGAGTTGCTAAGGCTATGGAGGCCTTTTGAGTTCACCGACTCTGATCATATTTAGACAAGGTCGTACCCAGAGTGGAAGTTCTCTCCTCCCTTCAGAGAAAGGTACCTCCTTCTTTGATGACCTGTTCCTTCCACTGGGATCTCACTCACAGAGATCTTTCATTTAGGTCATTTTTTTTTTTTTTTGCCACAGTGTCTTGGCTTTCCATGCCTGAAATACTCTCATGGGCTTTTCAGCCAGATCCGAATGCCTTAGGGCTGATTCTGGGTCCAGAGTGCTATTTAGGACATCTGCTATTCTATGAGTTTGCTGTGTATCCCACTTCCCATGTTGGATCGTTCTCTCCCTTTTTGATTCTATCAGTTAGTATTAGCAGACACTAGTCTTGCTTATGTGATCCCTTGACTTTTAGTCCTATCATTATGATCAATTGTGAACAGAAATTGATCACTGGGACTAGTGAGATGGCATTGGTACATGCCACCTTGATGGCACGTTAAACTAAGTATTTTTACAACCTCTTCAAATGTATCTCAGAATCAGAGAAAAAAATGTTCACTCATATGCTTATTGTGGTACATTGTAATATTTTGAGTAAAATATCCTTAAATAATCATGTAGATTTCATTTACTTATTTGTAAAATTGAATGAAGTGAGAGCATATGAATGGTGAGGAAATAATAGAGATAGGTATAAAATCTTCCTCCAAATAAAGACCTCAAAGAGGGAGACGGCAGGGTAGGGAGGATCCTGTGTTTCCAGCTGTTTTGAACAACGGTTTGTTCTCTTCCCTTTCCCTGCATCTGTTCTAGGATGGTCTCATGTATATCCCATGATTGCAATATACATTCAGAGGCTTCTGACTTCTAAATTTCCATGTCCTGCTCAGCTGCTTCTCCTCAGTCCTAGGCCTACATACTCAGCTGTCTGTTGGATGAATCCACAGGAAAGTCTCACAGTTTTCTCAACTACATCAGGTCCAAAGTGGAACTCACTCTTTCCTCTCTTGTATCCTCCATCACAGAGGTAGATGCATTCATTATGTCACTCATGCTCACATACACACATTCATTCAATGCCCAAGTCTTAATTTTTTTCTGAATCTGTCTCTACCTGGTGATCCCATTTATCACTACTGAATTTCTGTATTGGTTTCTCTGCCTTAATTCCTTTCCTCACACATCCACCAGAGAAGGATTTTTGCAAAACAGAATCTGTTGTTGTAATTTCTTGGCGTTAAACCCTTCAAACTTCACCCTTTCTCCTCCAATCCTGAGTACATGCTATCCAAGGAGTCCCATTATCTAACTACTGGTCAGATCACTATGCCACCAACCTTTGATACCACTGCAGCACTTGCATTTACTTGGGAAGACATCTTCCTGTGTTTAGCTGTCTATTTGTGTGTGACTCCCTTTTCCTCTACATAAGGAATGCCCTGCTCCATCATCCCCACATCTCTCTTGGTCCATCTTTTTTTCATCTGACAAATTCCTACCCATCCCTTAAGGCTGTTCATGCAGTAATTTCTATGAGACACCTTTTCCATCTCCCTGGCTGGGTAGTAACAGTATAGGCTTCCATTTTTTGCAGCATAGAGTTGATACTTTATTATAATTATTTAATAATTTTTCTATATCTCCAGTAGACTGTAAGTTTGTTAAGGGTCAGAGAGCTTACACTGTTTATTTTTGTATTCTTAACAGATAGTATTTACCTGCAGCACAGTAAGCACTCAGAGGAACATTTACTGTACAAATGAATAAATTAATTTATGACCATGTAATACATATATCACAATGGTAAGTGATTTTTCATATATATGTTCTATTTATTCTTCACAAGCTTATGGGCAGGTTACTAATATGCTCATTTTATGGACATATCTATGCCCCCACCCCCCCACACACAAGTGAGTCATAGCCAGGAGATTCGCCTTGGCTTTCTGAAATACTTGGCTCCTTACTGTCTTCAGAGGAAGGAGATCTTTATTTGACTGGTTCTGTGAGCTGAGGTGTAAGCTTTCCTTTCTCAGGAGGGTGTAGAGGATAAGCTTGGAAGTAAACTAGAGCTAGACTCAAAAACCAAACTGTGAGAGTTTGGGCAAGTTATTAAATTTTAAAGCCTGGTTCATCACACATGTATATTAAAGAGTTGTGATGATTTAATGGGGTGATCTATGCAAACCATGGAGCAGAGCCTCTGGAAATTGTGAGACAGCACTAATGGCTGTTATCATTGTGTTGCCTGCCTTCCCAATCGTGTTGTGAACTATTGCTTGGTCTGGTGTCCCAACGCCTTGCATCACAGTTGTTCACTCACACATTTTTCTCTCCTGCACTAGATTGAGTGCCCCTAGAAAGCAAAGTTCACATTTTATTTGTATCTGTGACCCCAGTGACTAACAAGATGCCTGGTATCTATCGAGCGCAATAGGTGTCAGTTGAATCAGTAAGTGAACAAATCAACATGAGTTATATAAACTTGAGCTCCCCAATAGCTATGCAATCAAAGCACAGAATAAGCTATGTCCTGCCCAGGTTCCTACATGTAATTCATCTTTTGTACTCCTTTGTTCACTGTTTTAGTGCCATTTGCAGAAAGTCTCTGTTATTTCGACCCCAGCAGGGCAAGGTTGAGCAGCAGGAGTGCAAGCTATTGCCTTACCTAAATCTAAGGATGACGTCTCGGGAGCTCGGAGAGGTTGGCCTCTTTGCTCAGCATCTGCACTGATGAGGTCGGGTCCGTCAGCCTTTTTCTTGAGGGATGAAGTTTTTGATGAAGGCTCTGACTTCTTGCCTTTGGTTTGGGTTTGAGAGACTGGTTCACTCAGGTCAAGGAGATCTAAGCCTGTGGTCAATACTATCAGAAATGGAAAAGGTTAAGATAAGCCCTTTTTCTGCTTTGCAATTACTTTTCAAAAATTGATTGGAGTTGAGTACAGAAGGATTTTGTGTTTGTAGGACAGGATGGAAACACCTACTTAACTCATTATTGATTTATAGAGGCAGTTTCTTAGGGATGGGCATTTTGTAGAGAAGATGGTACTTGGGATGCCCACATCTGTGTATTGAAGTGCCTAGGCTCAGGTCCTGGCTCTGCTTCTGACACCCGCTTCCTGATAATGTGCAATGTGGGAGGCAGCAAGTGATTGCTCAAGTACTTGCTCCCTGACACCCACATGGGAGACCCAGATTGAGTTCCCAGCTCCTGGTTTAGGCCTGGTCTAGTCCTTGGCTGTTGTTGGCATTTGGGCAGTGAATCAGCACATGGAAGAGCTCTGTCTCACTCTGCTTTTCAAATAAATAAATAAAAAAATTTGAAGAAGTAAATTTAAAAACAAAATGATACTAGTTAAAATGCCTGGGTCCCATATTGGAGTGCCTAGATTTGACATCTGGCTTTAGTTCCTGATTTCGGCTTCCTATCAGCGCATGGGAGACAACAGCGATGGCTGAAGTGATGGAGTGCCTGCTACCCACCTGGGAGACCTAGATTGAGTCCCTTACTATGGATCCCATGGCCATTGTGGGCATTTCAAAAGTGAACATGTAGACAGAACCTATCTCCCTCTGTCTCTATGCTGCTGAAATAAATAAATGAAGAAATAATTTTAAAAAGATAGTGTGTTAGACTGAGAAGCTTGCTGCATGCTTCCCTACATTTGGTAAGAAGCAAACCAGGAACAGGGGACTTAGATCGGCCTCAGCAGTGATGAAGCTTTGATAAAATGAAAATAAAATTGAATCTGAGTTCATGTACTGTGTACTGTTTTGCTTGAAAATTTATTTTGGATTGTGATTTTCCAAAGGATGGTCAATCTATCATATTCAGGGATTTAGTGACATTTCTGAATGTCTTTGTGTTTTGGTTTTAAGTGATCAAGTATATGAGGCATAAAGGAATGCTGTTAATAATCTTTTATTTAATTAAGTAATTCAATCAGAGAATGGCATGCTGTTTGGTCTCACACTAGAGAAGTATTTTATAACCATAGTTGATGAATAGGTATACACGTTACTGCCTTTGCTGTTTAATAAGCAAACTTAAATTTCAATATAACCAAGTATAAAACAGTTATATTTTTGCTTCCTAGCAGATTGCTTATATTGTACTAAATATTCTAACTAAGGCACAAATAATAAATAATTCGTTCAAATGCAAACTGGGAAAATGAGATTAAAAAGACAAGCTTTGCAATCTTCAAGGTTGCTTTTACTGTGCAAGTAAAAGTGACTAGCTCATGGTGAGAGGTAGAGCATTCACATGCGACAAGGTCCCTCCAACCCCACCTGTCCACCAACCCCTGCTGTTCCTCTGGTTTCTGAGCAGGCCTGGAGGCTCCCTGACCTAGGCTCTCTTCACCTCCGTAGCTTAGGGAAGCTGAAGAAGGACCAGACCAAGAAACTCCTTGCAGTAACCTTCTCTGGCGTAGTTTAAGCAGTAATTGCATCACTTTTCTCAAGGACCCAGTTTTTCTGCAAGGGGGGAACCGATTTTTGTTGATGTCTCACCACTCTTCCATCTATTTCTGCCTTGCACTCAAGGCAGGGTCAGAGCTCAGCAGTGCTTGCAACCAGGATTTCTTTAGTACTGCACTGCCCGAATGGCTGGAGGACCCTTCTGGGAGCCTTAGTGCTGCATCAGGCTTTAGTCTTTTAAGATTATGAATGTATTTATTTATTCTCTAGAAAGGCATAGAGGAAGATAAGGTCAGATAGAGAGAGGGAGAGAGAGAAAAAAATGGGGGGTGGGGAAGAGAGAGAGAGAGAGAGAGATTTTTTCCATTTTTTGGTTCACTTCCCAAGTGCTTGCAAAACCAGGGATGGGCCAGGAGCCCAGCAGCTTGTAATTCAGTCTCGGTCTCCCACATGAATGGCAGGGACCCAAGCACTTGGTCCATAATCTGCTGCTTCCTGGGCTGTTCATCAGCAAGAAGCTTATCAGATGAAGAACTAGGGACTTGAAACTAGCACTCTGATATGGGCTGCAGGTGTCCCAAGCAGCGTCTTAACCGCTGCACCTAACAACCACCCTAGGCTTTAGTCTTAACAAACATTTTACTTTCTGATTGCACGTCCAAGTCACAGTGTCAGACACTGTTGGTGAAGTAGGAACATCTGGTTTTACCTCTGCTTAGCTGTGTGACTTAAGGAAAGTTTCTTAGCCTTTCTGAGTTTCAGCTTCCTCATTTGAAAAATGAAGAATTCATAGTCTGTCTTTTAGATGTAAGATGAGGATTAAATGACCTGATGTGTGTAAAATGCCGGGCATAAAATAGGAACTCAATAGACATTATTTCCATTCTTTAGTGCCCACTCTGTGAAGTTAATCTTTCCTTTTCTTTATATTGATCTTCAATTTTTCCCATTCCTTTCTATCTTGGTCAAGAATCAGATGAACACACTGACAGAAAGAGAAGGCATTAATGGAACACACAAAGACACTGATTCTCAGCGGCTCCTATGGGGCAAAGGTATCATAAACAGACTGGGATCCTCTGTGGCTCTCAGCTGAGTCTCACGGAGGAGTGAGAGCCACTTGCCAAGGTGCTCCGAGGCGTGAGAGGCACTCTGTGGCCGGCAGGCGCTGGAGAAGTGGCTTTCAGAACCAAGTCGCTCGGCTTTCTGTCTACAATTTTAGGATGGCAGGCAGCCAAGACAGGCTAGGATGCCACACACTTCATATCCCTTGAAAGTTTAAATAGAAATTTCCAGACCACTGTTCTGTTGGCAAGGATTCCTGGCCCAATATGATTTCCTTGCAGCAGAAGGAAGGAGGTGGATGATGGTCTCTGGAATGCCATAAATGTACAAACACTGAAGAATCAACCACTTGCCCTGGACTTCTTTTGGAAACAAATGATATGGGAATTGTCTGCTTGTATATAATAAGTGCATTTCTTACAGAGCAATAACTGCTGAGTGCTAATTTAATTCTGCATGTGCTTCTCACTATTCAGAATAAAGGAATTTCTGAAAGAGTGAATTGTGAGTTCAAACTTGGCTCAGTAATAGTTCTTCCCCCTGCAAAGAGTCCCGGACGGACGCTGCCTGTGTTTGTTCTGAGCTCTCTATCTCTTTGTACTTTTCTCTGCAAATGTAAAGCGAATGCTTGGCACACACAAGAGGCCTTGGTTTTTACCCAGCTGATGAAGGAGGAGGCTTGGAGGGCGAATGGAAAGCTTTGAAGCTGAGACAGTCCCTGGGGACCCAAATTTCAAAAGCAGAGAGGGAGTAAGGCAGCTTTTCCATCTTCAAGGAAAACAAATTTCATTTTAGCGTGTGTGTGCATGCACAAATGTGTATAAGTACATGTAAGGTCAATAAAATATCTTTCAGTTATACTCTCATTTTCACCATGCAGACCTCTCTACCTGGATCACATGTCTGTCGTCGGCTGTGGGATCCCATTGCCCAGAGGGTTCCGTTTACTTCTGGGTGCTGTAAAAGCGGGACTCCCAGCTCTGTGGCGGCTCAACAGATCTGTATTTCCCAGTCACCCATTGTAGTGCTTTGTTCTATCTTAGTCACTTTAGTGTCTCCGACCCACTTTAGTGTCTTTATGCTATGGAGCTGCTGTGCATAAAATAAGGCAGCACACATCAGAGGTTCAGATAGTTTGGATTCAAATCCTGACCTTGTCATGTATTGGCTGTGTGACTTTGGGAAAGCTACTTAGTCTCTCTAAGCCTGTTTCTCCTTGTCCAAAAAAAGGGCACAACTCCAGTTCCCAGAGTGAAGCACTGAATGAGATGTTTAACTAAAGCCCTTCCAACAGTGTTAGGAGCATAATAATAATTCAAATAATTATTCATTATTACTAGGGGACTCTACTGAAGGCATTCATGTTTGAGGCAGTCCTAGACACACGAGAATGGAAATGAGTACAAAAATTATTTATTGAGTATATACAATATTCTAAGTGTTTATGAATGCCTTGTTTAACCCATATAACATCTCTGTGAAAAAGATTCTAATACTCTAATTTGACATGTGAGAAATGGGGGACTTGGAGATAGTAAGTAACATGTCCACAGCCACGTAGCAGGAGTGGTAGAATAATGCCCCCTCCCCTGGATGCTGGTGGATATGTGACTGTGACATGTCACACAGCAAAAAGGATTTTGCAGATGTAATTAAGCTAAGGATTTTGAGATGGGGAAATTAATCTGGATTATCCTTGTGGGCCAAATATAATTATAAGTATTCTTGTAAGAGGGAGTCAGGAGGGTGAGAGTCACAGAAGGGGACATGAGGATGGAAATTGAGGGGAGAAAAGGAGAGACAGAGGGAGGGGGAAGGAGGGAGGGAGGGAGGGAGAGAGAGAGAGAGAGAGAGAGAGAGGCTGGTTCTGAGGATGGAGGCTTGGAGATGGCTTTAGAGATGAGGAAGGAGCTATAACTATGGCTGCTCTCTTGATTTTAGGATTTGTGACTTCCAGAACTTGAGGCTAGTGAATTTGTGCTGTTAAAAGCCAGTGAATTTGTGATAATTTGTTTCAGCTGAGGCAGCTGGTGTTGTAGTGTCCATGCAAGGCTTCAAATGGAGGTCCTTCCCTCCAAAGCCTGTGTTCTCTGCTCCTCTCTGGACCTTGTGTGAACCTGAGGCAGTGAGCTGATTCCACACGGTGCTCACGCTTAGCTCCTGATTATTGGGCATGTTGGGTAGGCTGAGGCATGATTTAAATCACTGGCAACCTCAGCACCACTGTTTTTGTTGACCTAATTCTATTGGGTGGAATCTCCTCAAGACGGAAGCATTTGTTTCTAACTCTTCAAGAACACCTGACTGAAGACTGCAGGCTATTGAGCCGGAAGGCTCCCACAGGGCACTGGAAATGTATATAAATGGTCGATGACCTGGGCCCTGGGAAGTGAGGCCGCTTGAATGAGGTGGAGTAAAGCACAACTGTTAGGAAGGCCTGTCTTAGCCCTTTGGTTGCACGCACAGTACTGTTAATGCCACTGCAGGTTAGGGTGCATCAGGTTGGAGTGACTTTCTCTCCACAGACTGGTCGCTGGGGCAACCTCGACTAGCACAGGCAGCGGATGTGGCCACAGGGAGCTGCTGGGGCCTCTGTTCCGCTTTGCACTCTACCCTGGCATCTCAGGAGGTTTAGTCGGCATTCTCTAACACAGTGGCTACAAAGCTAAGTCCTTTAGGTACAATTTTGCCAGGGTGTCAAATAGGTAAATTAGATGTAACTGATTCAATCAACCTTTCCAACTTTATTGGGAATATGCAATTAAAACTATTTCTCAAAATTCTATCTCTCTCAAGAGACATGCCATTAAGCTCATGGCCACTTGGATTTCATAAAAGATATATTTTGCAAATATGCTAATTTTATAGCTATGATGTTTCATTAGCTGGCAGTGGCAGGATTGTGAATGTTGTTAAGTACAGCGTTTTCCATATAGGTACATATTTTCTGATATAGATTCATATTATCTGCATTTGAAGGAATGAGATTACATGTTTTTGAAACTGTGAAAAGTGTTTCTTCTATAGTAACTGTTCATTATGGCTGACTCTTGTGGATAAAATGTTTTTAGATGATGTATGATAAAGGAAAACCAAGGACCCTCTGCTTTTTTGCTCTTTAGAAAAGAATCCATCCTGATTTAGACATTTATTAGATTTACTGGGACATCACAGAGCAACAAGTCATTGCTACAAATTTTATAGTATTGCTTGTGCCATAATAGTCACTGTCTTAAAATATCTATTGACTAGTTTCAGGGCATTTGTTATATAAAGTTGCATAATCCAGATTTATTTGCCATTTTGAAATTAGTAATATTAACTACTAGCTTACCTGCCACCTAGGGATTAAGTTTAAAAAGGCCAAGGAATTAGTTGACTACCTGAACTATAGATGAATTAAAGAGAATTTAGGATGTTAATGGAGAAAAAGGGAAACATTTTTACTGATCACTTTGAAGCTATTTATTTATAATTATTACATGACAAAAATTCATCTTAATGGAGAAACAAGGAGAAAGCAATAAAGATCACTGATACACTGAAGAAAAAAGATTACTTAGAACTTCTATGAGGCAAAATATACAAACTTTTAGAGTTTTTAGGGAAAAAAATCCCATTATATAACTGGCCTTAAGAAAAGATAATACTTGTAGTTCCTATATTGTTTATTATGTGCTGATTTGCAAAGAGGCTTCAAGAAGTTCATGGAAAGCATCTTATGAAAAAACTGCATGGATTTCAAAATTTTTTGCAACAAAATAAACTTGTCTTTGAATTCTATTTTTCTGTGAACTCTTGAAGTACTCATACATAGAAACTGTATTCCTTAAAAATATAAAAAATGTTTCTGCCTTGAGATATATTTTTTTTTAAAAAGAGAGAGGGTGAGAGAGGGAGAGAGAGGGCACTCCCATCCACTGGTCCACTACCCAAATGCTTGCAGTGACTGAGGGGCCAGGCCAAAGCTGGGAGCCCCTCCATGCGGATGACTGGGACCCAACCACTTGAGAGCCAACACCTGATGCCTCCCAGGGTCTGCATTAGCAGGAATCCAGAATCAGGAGTTGGAGCCAGCAGTTGAACACAGGTACTCTGTTGGAATCTTAACTGCTACACCAAATACCTGCCCTGAGATATATTTTTAAGATGAAACAAAAAAAGATTAAACAAGAGTCTTTAGGATTAAAATTCATGTGAATCAGATGCAGTGAATACTAAGGCTGAGAACAGTAAGTCTACTCTCAGCACACCATTTTCCCAGATCCCCTACTTTGGAGAGTTCTTTTTGTTTTTGTTTTAAAGATTTTTCAAAAAAATATTTTAAAGATTATTTATTTATTTGAAAGTCAGAGTTAAAGAGAAAGGAAAGACAAAGAGAGAGAGAGAGAGAGAGAGACAGAAAGACAGACAGAGAGAGATTTTCTATTCACTGATTCATTCCCTAAAAAGCCACAATGGCCAGGGCTGGACCAGGCTAAAGTCAGGAGCCAGGAAATTCTTCTGGATCTCCCACGTGGGTGCAGGGGCCCAGGGACTTGGGCCATCTTCTATTGCTTTCCCAGGCACATTAGCAGGGAGCTGGATTGGAAATGGAGCAACCAGGACTCAAACCAGTGCCCATATGCGATGCCAGTGCTGCATGTGGCAGCTTAACCTGCTGTACCACAGTGCTGGCCCCCAGAGGGTTCTTTAGACTGATTTTTGAACCCCTTCCCTGCTCTTAAATTTTCATATGGAAGTCCTAATTCCCAGTACCTCACAATATGGCCTTACTTGGAAATAGCAGTATTGGAGGTGTAATTAAAGACGAGGTCATACTGGAGATCTCCACTCTGACCAGCGGCCTCTCAGAGAGGAGAAGTTCGGACAGACATGCTCATAGGGTGATGCACACAGAGCAAACCCTCAGAGAAGATTGAGTTGTGCTGCCAGTAGCCAACGAACCACCAGAGATCATGTCAGAGGCCTGAAACAGGTCTCCCCAAGCACTGTCAGAGGGAAACTGGCCCTGCTGACACCTTGATATTGGGTTTGCAGCCTCCAGAACTGTGCGGCAATAAATTTCTGTTTTTAATCTACTTTGTCACAGCAGCCATAGGTACTGGGATTGCAAGAACTTACACATTCCTTTTTTTTTCCTCCAGATATTTCTTAAGTTTCTCTTTTATTTGTTAGAAAATCACAGTGACAAGTAGCTTTGCAGTCAAACCTCATGCTGCTCTCTCAGTGTGGGCCTGCGCTTTAGTGACTTAGTTCTCCCATCAGTGAGAATTGGAAAGTGAAGCCCAGCTCCTCAGTACATCCCAATCTCTTAGATTTGCCTGTGGATAGAAACACAAGGCTCTGTTTCCTGGGGCAGCTCTGCAGTTTTCCAAGGCTGAGCTCAGTTTCATGGATCAGGAGTATGTGTCTGACCTGATTGTATCTGAACTTGTTCACTGTTCTGCTTAGAATGTACGACCTTGATTACTCAACGCGAGAGTAAAATATAGAGAATGATTGCTTTGGTGTGATATGAAAAAAATTGGAACAGCTGAAAAGGAAAGTCTAAAGAATATGTTTTTTACCTGAAATATCCAATGGAAACAGTCACATCAGTTAGAATTTACGTGTACTAAGCACTTTCATAAATTGCTTCATTTAATCTTTATAGTTAACTAATAGATATAGATCTTGACCTTAGTAGGCAGATGGAGAAACTGAAGCTTAAACAACTTGCTCATAGACACAAGCTTGCATTTGATCTACTGGAGTTTGACCCCAGAATTCAGACTGTACTCCCACATAAAGTGCCTCAATCTCATGCTAGTTACTCTTGTTGTAATTTTCAGCACTGTGGAAAAGTCACAATTGCCTTCTCTTTGTGATTTTCATCACTTACTTAGAAGTAAAATGAAAATTTGCAAGCCCATAGCAAGATGAGGTCATAAGGGAACGAGCTGAACAAGACAGTATGTGATTACCTTCTTCTTTTTCCAATATAACCTTTGTTCTTTGATTCTGAACATCATTTTAGAAATTTTTATTTGAAAAACATGCTTTTGAATGTGAATGTTGACTAAGTGAAATCAATGGAGAAAGGCAGCCTGTGCTGGAGAAGCGTCATCCACACCAGTGGTGTCCTGCACTCGCTCACTGGGTTGATCCTGCTCGAGGGCCTCTTCCTACATGGGCCATGGCACTGAGCAGCTGATCACCACCGTAGGAGTATTTTTACCTCTAGAAGAATGTTCAAGTCAGCAGTAAGAGGGAGAAAGTAACACATTTACATGGCAGAATAAAACTGACCCTGTCTATCTTTAAGCTGTAGGACATTGTCATTTAAATCCACTTGAAAAGATGGATACATTTTTATTTTATTGGACTTCTTTTATATAGCATATTTGCTGAAGTAACTGAGCCATCAGTGAGAACTCGAATAACCTTACTCTGAAATAGGTGCTTTTGTCTTAAAGATTTCTTAATGTGATATGGCTTGAGATATAAACAAGTAAATGTGAAAATATGCATGGAAAAGTGATTCAGTGCTCATAGTTGTACTCTTACGTTCAGCAGAATTGACTGGGTAATATGCATGGCAGTTTCTTATATAATGAAAAATGATTTATTGGTGTACTCAGAACAGTATGTTTTCTAAAGTTTCAATTGGTTGCAAAAATCATTCTCCACTTAAAATGCCTTAAGGAGAAACATGTGCATTGACGTCAACTCTCCTTGAGGAACAGTTAGAAGTGAAGGAATTACCGGCTGTATTGGACGTTACTGGTCTTGCTATTGCCTCCGATTTGGTTTCACACAGAAAGTCATCGATGGAGGGGCTCAGGAGGGGTCTGCTCTCTTGTTGCTCATTCACCAGCTGAGAACAAATGAACACAGGTGTCAAAGGGTTTTGTTAACCTGCAGAATAAGATGGGTTAAAATGCAGCCTTGCAACAAAATGAGAATAGCAAGCCTATCAAAATAAACACATACATAAATAAATCATGGGGAGGGGCAAGAAAGAAAAAAGTACCAAGGCGTGGGAATGAGCCTTTTAGCACTGTCAACGTATTTGTGACGCAGCCAACCTCAATTCTCAAAGCCCAAGCCTTTCCCTCCCCTCCTGGAACTGTTTCAGAATTACCTTGTAATTCCATTATGCAGAAAATGATACCTACTGAATTATAGCAGCTAAGGGCCAATCTCATTCCTCACTTGGCCAAAAAACTCCTAAGACCCAGAACAGTGACTTCAAACTCTGAGGTGGCAGGTTCTGGTAAAGACTGGTCAGGCATTGTTTATGTGGTGAGACAGTGCAAGCACATGGATCTATCTGTGGTTTAGCACTTGCCTTTTCTTGCTCTCTCAGAAAACTCAAGTCACCTAAAACCCACCCTCTACATCTCCTTGGAATGCTTTTGTAGTGCATAACAAGTATTATCTTGGGAGAGTAGAAAACATCATTACATGAACTCTACAGGTACCTAGTAAATATGTTTGTGGAAACCTATGTGTAAAATAGGTTCCTGTAAATTCAATCTTATTTTCCCTAAGCATATTCTCTAATTTCAGCAGGCTTTCAGATTCATTTTTAGTGGGTCTCTGATTTTCAGTGGCAGCCAACTATTTAGTTATTCTGTACCTCTTTGAATCTGGATTTGTTCAAATTACATTTCTATGGTTAAGAGAGAAAATTTGTTTTTGATACATAATTGGTTTATTCCTAAATTAATTGTTTTAATTCTTTGGGAGTTTTTATATTGACCTTACTTAAGATAGACATAGCCATTCAGTTTTCTCTCTCGTGTGTAGTTTTTCTTACCAAGAAGTTGGATCGACAGGCAGAGTGGACAGTGAGAGTGGACAGTGAGAGAGAGAGACAGAGAGAAAGGTCTTCCTTTTTTGCTGTTGGTTCACCCTCCAATGGCCGCCACGGCCAGCGCGCTGCGACCAGCGCACCATGCTGATCCGATGGCAGGAGCCAGGTACTTATCTTGGTCTCCCATGGGTGCAGGGCCCAAGGACTTGGGCCATCCTCCACTGCACTCCCGGGCCACCGCAGAGAGCTGGCTTGGAAGAGGGGCAACCGGGACAGAATCCGGCGCCCTGACCGGGACTAGAACCCAGTGTGCTGGCACTGCAAGGCGGAGGATTAGCCTAGTGAGCCGCACCGCCGGCACCAGTTTTCTATGTGTTGTAAGAAAAGGATATGTCTCAAAATCTCCAGATTTTTAAGTACCCATTTTTAAAGTTTTATTTTAGGAGACATATAACATAACAAATGAAGTTATTTGGAGTATTGCCAAATCAAAATAATTATATAACTCTACTCACTTTCACTTCATTGTTTCTTTGGCACAGGGTCAGTGGTGTCATGGGTTAGAGCTGATGGAAGATGGTAAGGAACCTAATGTTAAGTATGGAAAGACAAAATGTAATTCTATGATTTCCAGAAGAGTAGCATTAAAGCATTTGGTGGGCATTCAAAAACTGGAAACCAAGAAACACACTTGGTACTTTAAGATAGCCATGCTATTATTTAAACATGGATAAATGTATGATCTCCATCAGAGTTTAAGATTTTGACATAAGTTGGCAATTTGATTTTCATTCATTCTTGTTTATAGATATTATTGAGGGATAAGTATCCTCAATGTTCAATGTTCAAGTTACATTGATAGATATTTCTTCAATTAATATGAATTAAATGTTATTATATATCAAGACTCAAAGATTTTTAAGAAGAAAATCATCTAAAGTCTATTTTAGTTTTAACCTTTTTAAAGGCTATTCCTTTAACCTAAGTAAAACTCTGAGTTCTTTTGCATTTTGTTTTGAATTTGACCACTGTTGGGTGCCACCAATTCTATTTATAATGAAATATTTTCAAATGTTGGGGGACTTTGAATCTTCCATGATTCTGAGATAAAATGTAAATTCTTGTAAATGTCATGGTCTATTTGAGTTTAGCCATGATTCATGATATTTCCTGGCATAAAAGTCACTTTTATTATCTAGAAATGTTAGTGCTGATATAGAATATAATACTCCAGAAAATGAAGAAATGGCTAAATATGAGTGAATCTGTGAGCTCTTCCAAAAAAATCAGTATTTCAGAATCTCTATTTCATTGATAATTAGTTCACATACAGACTATGGACATATAATAGTTTCCAAAGGAACTATACATTAATGTGTATTTACTGGTAAAACTTGTTCTTTTAATCACATGTGCTTACTGTAATAGCCCTTCTAATGCAGTATCTCTATGGTGACGTGATTCTAACTTCACAAACAGTACCTACATCCAGGCTGTGGCACTCTCTTGGCACTGAAAGGAAACCTCAATTTTGCCATGTTACAAGCATTCAATGAAGATGAAGGTCACCATCAAATATGGCACTCACAGAATTCTGTACAGGCTGCTTGCCTTTACCAAGCAGTGCCTTCTGATTGCCGGCTTCTGCCTATGGGTCCTATGCTGACCCCAATGGCTAAAGTGTCTGAGGTTCTAAACTCAAAATCACACAAAACAATGGCATCTTGAAAAGTGAATACGTATGTATTACATAGTAACTATCTCTTTGATAACCATTATTTTTCTGAGAATAAAAATCTAATTTCATTGACAGATAACCAAGAATTACTGAGTTCTCTTAGCTATCCCTTATCTGAGATTCTTGGGGTCAGAAGTCTTTCTGATTTTGGAATTTTTTGAATTCTGGGATATTTACACACCCATGAGATATTTTTGGCATGAGTCCCAAGTCTATACACAAGATTCATTTATATTTCACATATACTTTTTATACATAGTTGAAAGGTAATTTTATACAGTACTTGCACATTTAGTGTACTTGTGTTTTAACTATGACTTGGAACACAAGATCAGGTGTGGAATTTTCTACATGTGGCTTTATCTTAGCACTCAACAAGTTTCAAATTTTGGAGCATTTCAGATTTCAGATTTTTAGATTAGGGATGCTCAACCTATATCAATTGTTATGTAGATAAATCCAAATTATATTCTGTAAGTTTTCTTACACTTTCTTTACTTTGGATACAAAGATATATATATTTCTTTAAAAAGAAAGGACTAAGAATGCTTCCCTAAATCCCAACTCTGTATACATATGAAAAGTCTTCAAGAAGTTCACAGAAAATTTGCATTGTGAAAAAACTATATATATTTTTAATTTTTTAAAAATGAACTTATTTTTTGGCTCCATTTTTCCATGAACATTTTGAAGCTGCCTTGTGTATGTATTTAGGTTGGGGTGTTAGAATGCTGTAGACACTTTTAGTTGTGAACCTTGAAAAAACTAAATTTGATCAAAGAATTCGAGAAAGACAGACTTCTGTCCCCATTAATATTAAAATGGAAAAACAAAAGATAAGACATGGTTCAATGTGAGGCCTGTCTCATTTTAGGCAAGTCTGCTTTGTCAAAGATAATGGGATTTTTTTTTTAAATGTCTCCTCATTTAACCTTTAGTTGTAGTTTCTGTTGAAAGCATCGGGTGCACTCTCAGATTTACTCAGTAGCATATTCCAAGAGACCTTGAGACGCTCATGACAGAGGCACAGCCTCTCCTACCAACTCCTAGTCCTCTGAGGTCTGTGTCTCTCCCATGACTGTCTTGTTTTGGACCCTAGAGTTGGTACCAGGACCGACAGAATTGTCATGGCTGTCCAATTTCTCTGTGTAAGGTGCTCCAGTGACTTCCTTCCACAAGTCACAGGGTAATCAACCACTTTTGGAACCACTGTTTTTCGAGCTGGAGCACAGTTTGGCATTGGGAGAGTGGCAGGGCTCACCAGTTAAGAGGAGGAAATGCCAGATGATGGTTAGCATGGAAAGGTTACTGACACTAGACTGAAAGCTTTTTGGCTTTGATGAAGATATGGAAGATGAAATAGGAGATATGGTGAAGAAAAAGAAATTTCCTCTTACAAGCTGTGAGTTCAGAGATTATATCTTATTTATATTTATTTTCTTCACAATGTCTCAAGCACAATGTCCACATCTAAAAAGGGTTCAATACCTGACTACTGAATGAGACGATGATGGCTAAAATCGCAGACAAAAAAATCTGCCTTGAACAGTCCAATTTTAAATCGTGTCGCTGGTTGGATGAATTTAGATATGAGTATTTTAGTCAGTGGAAGTCCCATTTTAATTTTACTTGTACAGATTAGAATAGCTTTTCTTATGCTCCCTCATTTTTAAATAAGTTTGTGATTTTTTTCTTTGGTTACATGAGAATAAATTAATCTTTAAGGTCATAAAGGAAAAGTTTAAACAAAGCTCCCAAATTGCATGTCCTTTCTTCTACCCTGATTCATTAGTGGATAAGGTTTGTTGGCCTTCTCTGAGAATTACTTCCTCCAGTCTGAAAGTCCTTTACGAACTTCCTTCACCTCATCCTTTGGGCACAGAGTACATTGATGCTGTAAATATAATAAAAGGAGAGTCAAAGTCTTCCAATTTTGCTTTTGGAATAACTGAGTTGGAGCAATTGCAATTTTGGCCTAATCAGATTATCAAAGCTCAGCTAAAATAAATCACTTCATTAATTACAATGGTCTTTGTATCAGTTAATTTACACCTAAAATTTTTTTTTTATTTTTCAGCCTTTTCTGCCCTCTTCTCCATCTTTGGATCAGTCCAAAGACCCTTCTAATTTTGACAGATTCTAATTTCTCTTTTGGGACCCCATTGCAAACAGCACATTGTCTGGGATCCGTCTTCAGTGCCAGGAGGTGAGTGCTTTTTTTAATAGCACCTCCATCCCCATGCTCTAGCCAGTATCAGAATCTTAGTTTTATCTCCTTTTCCCTTTGCTAGACTATGATCCAATTATTTTTTGTATCCCACAGTAACATGATAGTTAGACATATAAGATTTGAATGCATTCATGGGGAAATAAATGGATTACCATTGTTTGCAGCATAAGTAGTACTAACCCTAAGGCAGTTGTTCTAAACAGTAATAGAAATTCAAAGAAGGCCATATTTAGTAGCCTTGAGAATGTTTTTCTCATCAAGGACATTGCTCTTTTTGATCTTCATCAGACACAAAAATCAAATAAATATTGATGTGGAAGGGGTGGGACTAGATTAAAAAAAACAAAGGCCGAATTTGAAAAGTAATAAAGTCCCTTCACAGAAAGAGATCTGGAATACAGTTTTAAGACACTATGCACTAAAGGCAAAATGAATGGGACATACTTTACTAAAAAAAAAAAATTAAGAAAAGTACCCTGGAGATATCATCAAAATGAAAATATCTGAAGTTTCTTTATGAGAGAATAATATTCCCCAAAGTCATTTCATTCTCATAATGATAATACACTTTTCCTACGATATAGGCAATGTTTTGGCACATAGTTTTCCATTCTGTTCTCAAATTGGACTTGTACATTTTATTACATTTTAAAGCAGTGCTGTCAATATAAATATAAGAGCCTCATAATTTAAAATTTTCTGATAGTCATTTGTAAAAATGTGAAAAGAAACAAGTGAAATTAATTGTAATAATATATTTTAACTCAATATATCCAAAATATTATTGCTTCAACATGCGATCTATACAAAAATTATTAATGTAATTAATTTACACCAAAAATTTCTTGGATTAGATCGTCTGACTCTAGTGTGTATTTTATGCTTACAACACATCTCAGTTTGGAGTTGCCACAAATGCTCCACGGCCCCGTGTGGCTGCAGGACACCAAATTGGACGGCACAGGCCTAGAGCAGCTTTTTTCCTCAAAGATGTGATTATTCACTTACTTTTTCTTTAGCTCTTTCATCAATGCACACTTGTTCATGTACTGTTTACGTGTTATTCTTAAGACAGCATGAACTTGAGCTTCTATGAAGTGCTTGACTTACTCTTTCTCTGCACATTCTTTGTTCAGAATTAATAATTATGTGAAACAGCCAGGACAACTCTGAGGGGTCCACCAATTTCTGAGTTCAGGTTATCTGGCCAGCTTTTCTGCCTGGTTCAATTTGTTCGGTGTACTACAGATGACTTCAAGGGAGTATGTTTGATTAAATCCCTCTAAAAGTTGAAGAATGTACCATGATATTCACATAATACAGAAATGCTGGAAAAAGACTAACCTGTACTTATAATCTATGAGTGAACAGTTATTAAATAAGGGAAGGGCTCAATGTTTCAGAGATTTTTCCTCTATTTTATCTTTTATCATTTTCCCAAAGACACTACTGAGAGAGCAGCAATTAGCTTCAAACGTATCTGGACTCTATGGCCTGAGCAGCTGGCATCAACATACCCATGATGAAGATGAGCATTATGTAGTACCGTGTCATAAGGGCCTTTACAGGAGACACTGGACATACACTAATACACTCACACAGGAGAACGAGTAGGAATGTGGTATGGTACATGGACCAGATACTGTGGTTGTCATGGGAAGTACTCACTTTTTCAGATCATTCTGCTTCTTTTTGGCTTGTGCACGCCACTGGTGCATAGCAGGGAAGAAGCCACTTGTGTATAGTGGAAAAAGTTTATCAACTAATAAAACTGCATTTGACTGACAAATAATTGTATCACAATTGTCATTGAATTTTGTAAAATGACCAACACAATAGGTGCATTACATTTTATGAATCTGCTCACTGATTCATAAACTGGCCAGTATGCAACAAGAATATGATGCATCAAAGAAAGCATTATCTAATCTTCATGCAGTATTGTAACTAGTATTTCAAAACAGTTAATGCGACATTAGACAGGGATTAAAGTAGGAACTTGGTACACACAAATGCTCTGAATGTGAGAAAATGGTAATATCACAACTTCTTTTCTGAATTAAAAGATGAAAAATATCATTTTGCCTTAAATTTTAAATTCAAGCATAGATTTTCGTGGTTAATTTTGATATTTGAAATGGTTTACTTCAATGTATGTAGCAATGCATGGTTTTGAGGAAAATGAATTTTCAGACTGGAGCCTGTCCTAAATTGTAATATCCTGAGATGATAATGTTGGAGCACAACTGTGCCAACTGTAAATTCGGAAGGGACTTCTAAATGATGTATATGGCTATGTGGGGAGCTCAGAGCTCCAAGCAGTTCTCACCTCCCTTAGCATTCACCTGAGGGAGTGTGGACCGAATATTCTGCATGTGAGATTCTGCGAAGGTCTAACTCTGATAGGCAGAAGGTCAGTGTAAAACTGTGTATGTTTTACTGTGTAAACTGCATAAAGAATGGAGCATTTGGTAAATATCAAGCAAAAATTTGTCATTGGGAAGCAGCATCTCTTCTTTATGCATTAAAAAACCCAACAATATAAAATTTATCTCAAAGTTCTGGGAATCCATAATAACTTAAAAATTATTCAATTTGATATTATATGTTATAATTGTTGTTACTTATAACATAGTATTTGGAATAAAATAAAACCACACATGTTGGCAGCAGCTGGGGATGAGATTTGCTGATATTCTAAAAATAAGTTGCTATAATTTAGCTTTTGATATAAATGCCTTTCATGAGGACTGTAAATGGACATTTTTCTAATTCTAGCTGTGTTCATATAATTGGGACTGAATCGCTGCATTTACTATTGCATTATGGAAAAATGAAATGTTTAAAATAACAATCTAATCTAAATTATAAGATAAATGCAAGTAAAATATTTTCCATTTAAGAATTTAAAACTGGTAGTTCCACAGAGTGGTGATGAGTATATTATACATATTTATGTAGATTTTACAGGGTGTTTCAGAAGTCCCTGAGGACATACAGGAGTCACAGTCTCAGTGTGTCTTTGCATACAAGTGCAAATTTTTTCTATATTTGTTACAATAAATGCTGAAAATGGCCTTTATGTGCTTGTAATAGCGATGATATTTTTGTTGTCAAGGTCACTAAGTATGAGAGAGGTCAAAATGCCATTTTCTGCATGAGGATCAGGGACTTCTGGCTCATCCCTGTAAATTAGTCATCCCCATAAATATGTATAGACATATATGTAGTATGCATAGTCACAACATAAATATATTTAACATTTAAGAAAATTTAGATACTCTACTGGCAAACTGACATATGTATACAATAAAACTTGGATTTATTCATAGTAATTTGTCTTTTGGATTGTTTCTGTTCAAATGCACCATTAGCTTAATTGTTATTTCTTTCCCAAAGTTGTTAATAAGACTCCTTTATAAAGAAGCAACATCTTTTATTTACAAGTACATGTACACTTTCTTTTTTAACTAAAGTTGAGTAATGGAAATTAATATCCAAATAAGTAACTAAATGAATTTTCTCTCTTTTTTTTTTAGCAATTTTGGTTTTCATTTATATTTGTATAATCATTTCATTAACACTATCTTTTAAAAAATTGGTTCCAGTTAGTTTTTTTCTAGTTAAAATTCACAATGTCTGATATATTAACATATGTCAGCTTCCTACAGGAACCCTATGGGTCTGCCCACCTGTGATGTCATAGTAAGGAGGGGCTTTTCTTCAGCAGACTCCTCCCTCGGTATCTCCTTCATCACCATGGCAACAGCCTTATCTGCCGCCCTAGAGCCTTTTCCCTATAACAGTGAAATCAACAATGACTTGTGTCAGGAGAAATCTTTAACTTATTATTTATTACAAGATATTCTAATGTTTAAAGAGCAATCCAACATAAATGAAGAAGTAGGCTGCTGCAAGTGAATCTTGAGGCTTTTGGCTGAGGAGAAAACACACAAAATCTGAAAAAAGATTACTTGTGAACTTTTAGTTAGCTTCTTTTTCATCTTTACGGCTGACAAATTAATTTTAACATAGTATTTTATATGTATAATATGTTTGAAGGCAATTAACATGACATGAACATACTTTTTATGAATATCAATTTAAAAACACTATGGGTGGTCTGTTATATTCTTTTACAAATGATTACTATGTAAATAATTCCTAACTTTTTTGAATGGCAGTGAGGAGTTTGAATGGCAGCGGGTTTTTGCTGGGAGTCTTTGTTGTTTTGAGTGGATTGGGCATAAAAGAATAAAAATGTCCTTAAATCTCTAAAAATTTTTCAATTGCTTGACATATCAAGTATTCACCCTGCTTGTTTTGTGGAGAGATTACAGCTTTGGTGAAAAAGGTGTGCAACTCTCACTGTTTTGGAGATTAAGGAATTTTAATAGAATTGTAGAATTATCTTTAATTGGAGCACCTCATAAATCCAGATGTAAGTAAAGGATGATAAATATTGCTACACTGAGATATTATATATATAATAAATATGAATTATATATATATAATTTCAAGCCAAATTTTAAATATACCATTTATTTGAAATGCTATAAACCCATAAACTACATTGAGATATTTTTTGTATGCACATCTATGTGCATTGTGCATATGTGTATGTGTATATGTGTTCCTCCATCATCTCATCCAATCTGAATTATAAATTCATCCAATCTGAATCATGGATTGTAAAGCAGTACATTGGCTCTCTGTCTTTTGAGTTCACTAGATTTTTAAATTTGGGTAGATATAGCATAATGGGAAAAACAAAAACAAAATATCACCTTCCCAATCCAACTAGAAATATCTCATTCTATGTAAAAATTAAATCATCTTTTAAATTCTTTAAAAAACAAAAAAATCCTTCCATCTTCTTAGGTCTCTGGGTAGTGTCTCTATAGAACAATAATTTTATTCTAAGAGGACAAATGAGTATTTGCCTTGTAAATCTACTTAAAACATACATGTAGCATACAGAGAAATTTAGGCAAAGAGACAAAAAAGAGCACGTGGGGAATCTCTTTGTCTGAAAAGGAAATTAATAGATGGGGTCAAAATTAATTACAGAGCCTAATGAATACTGAGTTTCCTTGCAATAAAAAAGGATAACATTGCATCATTAGTTTGGGCTTTCCCAGGGCTTTTATTCTTTAGAAAATAGGGTTACCTTGTCCATTTTCTCAGGTGTTAACTTTCTAAAATGTAGTCAGTGGCAGCTTTTACTTATCAGAACATAGAAAAATTTTCCATACAGTTAATAGATTTTAAAATTTGTGAATGTTTTACAATGCTGAAAGTTTGTTTCTTTGCGTTCTTTAGATTTTAAACTAGCATGCTAAATGATTATGTGCTATTTCCAAGAAATGAAATACTGGAGATTTCTTCACTAGGTCTATCAGGTAGTGATTTCTATATGTACTTTGTGAAGTTTACATGGTCACACTGCTTGAAATAGCTGTCTTCTTAAAAAACAAAGGGAAATTAATTATTCCTTGCATAAAAAGCGGGGATGCATAATGATGCTGGTTTTTTTTTTTTTTAATATAGCAAGTGGACTTCCTAAAATATGGATGCATACAACTTGAATCCTTAGAGAAAAAGATTTGCTATGGTACTGTTAAACTGCTTAGCATCTTATCAAAAAAATTTTTTTTGGATAAAACATTATACGTTATAAGATCAGTACACCTTTAAAATCTATACTCATTTATAGGCTAAATATGGTTTGTAATAAATATTCTTGCAGCTTATTTTTTTCAAAAGAGCAAAATCATTTGTGAAGAATTCTTTCCATGCTCCAAGTGGCTCTAATAATATAGCAATAAACAAAGTGGCATGCTTATATTCAAATTCCTACTATATTTAAAAGAACAAACCTAATGTTAAATATATAATTAAAATTAATTCAAACTCTTATTTTTTTGGGCTAAGAAGAAAATGTTAATTGATAAGCATCTCAAAAAAATTCAGGCCAAATTTTCAATATATCATTTATTTGAAATGCTACCAATCCATAAACTACATAGAGATATATATTTTTTACAGGTGCAACTATAATAGCTAGAATTAGCAACGGACATGCCATTTCACTAAAACAGAAACAAAAACAAAATAAAAATTAGTCCTTTCATGCTGAACTCTAGAACAAAGCAGTGGTCAGCTAGAAAGGATGTATAATAAACACATGCGGTGCTTTTTATTTCTTGCAGAAAAACCCACCAAAGCCAGGGTCAGGTCACTTTTTTGAAGACAGTGCCACTTTTTCTTCAAGGTTACACCTACTACCTGAAAAGAGTCATGACACCCATGTTAGTGCCCGCTAGCAACTTCTTTCTTTACAGCCTTTTGGCTTTGAGATAATACCCCATGAGCCTCACCGTTTCACAAGTGTAGTACAGGGAACAAAAAGGAAGGTCTGCCACAATGACGTCTCCATGGTTCCAGGCAGCACCTCTGAAACCACCGCCAGATCAAGTGAACACACTCACATATCACATTGTCACCTCTACCCGGTATCTTCTAATCACTTTTTTTTTTTTTTTTAAATCCTGGTCCATTTATCTTCTGGGATAGAATTCAGTACCTGGCTGTTAACTGATTCAGCAATTCATGAGACTACAATTTTACTTAGCAGAAGTGCAACAGAGCTGAAAGTAATACAACCATGCAGGTTTCTTTCTTCTTTGAAGTCACTGGCTTAAGATATTGTAAGAAATACATATTCAGAATTATTCAGATTCCAAACTCAATGATCTAAATATAACCCCACTAATGGGTCAGTATTGATCTACTATTTCAAACAACATGAAGACAGCAAAAAAAAAAAAAAAAAAAACTCAAGAGTGTAAGTGGTTTATATACTTTTGATTATATTAATTAAACCTATACATTTCTACATCATTCTTAGCAACAACCGAAGAGCAAAACATTAAAGCTTATTATTGCAATATAACATATGCCAGAAATTGTTTCAGCCTATTTATTTTCACATCAATATTCCAATCCCCCACTTCCTTGCTGAATTTCTTGAGGTATTTTTTGCTATTTGAAAAACAGCATCAATATTAGGGGGGAATTTCTATCTGTCTGGTGCATTACTGTATAAAATTCTTTAATATTTTTCTGTTTATCATTTGTTTCCTCATCAATGAAATGCTTAACACAATAGGTTTTTATACAAATAATCTTTGAGAATAACTTTTTCTTAAGTTCTGTTATCAGAGCAGGCATAAGTGATGAATAGGAAGTGTTTTTGTGTTATTAACATTAAATAAGAAAACTCTATTTGTTCACTTGTTTTCTCTTTGTTAACATAGAATGTAGGAAATAGAGAATGACATATTGGACATCACAGGATTCTCTCAGGCTGGTTATCAGGCTGTGGAATCACCGGCTGTCTTCAAATGTGATGCTGGCTCCAGGCTCGCCTCAGAGGGAAGGGAATTAAACTCTTCTGAGAAGCTACCATGTGCTAGGCATGCTGTGAGCTGTTTGATGTAATTTTACTTTTTGATCGTATAATGACTCTGTGTATGCAGATGTTATCTTCCACTGGCAGTGGAGGACACTGAAGCTCAGATTTGGTGCGATTTGCCTGGCACGCCATCGTTATCTGCTTTTCTGCCTTAGTGAGGCTGGAGACTTGAGGGTTTCCTCGCCACCCTCATTGACTGCCTTAAACGTGGGTTGTTTATGACATCACTCCGATTTCCAGAGGCAGCTATTTTTCAGTATAATCACACAGAGTGGCTCTAAGCAAACATTTTTTGAGAAAAGTTTTTTCCTGAGATCTGCAACCATCAGTAAGCACTGCCACTCATAACTTTGCTCATGAACACATTTCTAATAAAATGTTTTTGTCTCTTTTGTCGTCACAGAAAACGAACTTAAGCATTTCATGTATGACAACTTCTTTTTTATTTTATAGGTCTTTTTAGGTTTATACGCTTTAGCATCTGTCTAATTCTTATTAAATGCCATGCCATCATTACTCAGATTTTCCTCAGCTCTATTTTGGTCTCATGAAATACTTAAAGTATGCAGTTTCACAGTCACACAAGTCCATTTGTAAGCAATTTCCTACTTGCAGATTTTATTACTACTACCATGGAGTTTGTAATTTAAAAATTATTTCTATACTTAATCTATCAACAATAATCTAGTCTCTTTATTAGATATTGATGGAAGAAATGGAAATATATTAAATGGCTATGAAAGTAGATAGCTCTGCAAACCAAAAACTGTATAACATGACTTTAAAAAGTAATCTTCCTTTTGTCTTAATTACAAAAATTGAAAAACACTGTCAAAATTCAAAAAAATAAGAAAATTCAAAAATCTTGATTTTTTCATGAATTTCCCCCCAAATTTATGTTTATGTTTTATGTTTCATTTTGCAATACTGGTGATTAAGCAGTTTTTAGTATGAATGTTTTAAGGCTAGGCATACTACCACCAAACTCTAAAGTGTCAATCTATCACATATATTCCTTTATATGTACATATATGCAAACAGATATCTTCCCTCTACATAATTTTAGCAATGCTGTTTTAAATGAAATGTTATTCAGTTTTGCATATAAAAATTATGTATCACAAATTCCGTACCCTGGACTTAAGCACCTGTGGGAAACTGGCCACAAAAAGACTAATTTCTGATGGCTGTTCTTGTCTCTCATATGCACAACCAAGATATCTTTCTTTCACTTGGGAAAGTAAATGTCACAGAAAGTGGCGTGTTCTCTTCAAACTCACAACATGGGAAAATGTCAGGGCAATGTTTTAAGTAGCCTCT